CTAACTTCATAAATTCCGTCGAATATATTTTCAGCATGTTCTAATGATACTGTATATTAAATCTATTTAAAAAAAATCAAAATAATCCACTTCATAGAAGATATTTTTCTACCAACACTGCATGATGTAGGAGGATTCTTTTGAAAATCATTGAATTCCTTCAATATCCATTTTGACGCCATATTTACCATTTTAAGCCGTAAAAACTGAAGAAAAATGAAATTGAGAAAAAATTTTGTGAGTATGGGGGTTGAGGGTGGGGTAGAAAAGAGATTATGATTTTACGTTTAATAATTTAAGATAATTTTATGTTTAAACTTGTATGAAAATAAAGTTCGAAAAAATGACATTGGAATGATGTTGGAATTGAAAAGAAACATAAACATCACGATTTTACATTTCACAATTAATGTAAAANAAAAAAGGCTCGGCTAACGCTGCTCAACCAACTCGGCTAGGCTTCGATGGCCAAACGGCTTGTGAATAGGATAGGATACATTTTTATTACATGTGAATAGTTTACACTATTTCGTGTGTGACATATATCAACCTTGCTACTTGTACAAAAAAAGGTTGACAAAAAAGTTGACAAACACTCACAATGTGGGGGGCCCATTTTTTATTTTCAATTTTTTATTCACGTGGGGTCGGCAATCATGTGAGTGTTTGTCAACTTTTTTGTCAAACTTTTTTTGTACAATTAGCTTTTTTCGACATATATTACAAGCACCAAATATCTCGCCTGTTGGCAGATCCTAAACCTTGCAAGATCAGAGCTAATGTACAACTTAAATATTAATTTTGAGTTTAAGAATAATTCAAAATAAGTGTTAAATTTAGCAATAATCAATTCTCTTCCCCTCCTTGTTGATGGAAATACTGTTTATATCTGTAAAAAAAAATTGAATTTTCCATATCTTATTTGGAATGACATCAATATTTTAAGCTTCAAATTTAATATATGTTAAAATAAATAAAGTTATTTTTACAGTCAATCGTGATTCTGCATACTATATACTCTACTTTCTTGATGCTCTTTGAAATTAAACAACCATCCCCTTGAATTGATC